GGTATCAATTTTTTTGCAATTGGTTAGAACAACCAAATACAATTATTGAATTAAGGTCGGCCCTGCAGCTAATCTACCCAATAGAATATGAAATTGGAGATCGGGAATTTCGAGCCTGGAAAGCAATGCTAAAAAATGTTGGTTGTTCTGATATTACCCATATGAAAAAGATCAGTCAAAAGTAAGTAGCCATTTTAATAAATTTTACAATTTATATATATACTTAATTGATATGAATCGATTTCTATAGTTCAAGTTTTGGTCTCGGTCCATTATTCCGGATAGTGATAGAAGTTCTTTGTCTACATTATACGATCTTGGATTTGTTACATCAGTTCCCTTATACTCCTCTATGAATGCTTTTTGGAATTCTTTTCACAATTCTTTGGAAATTAATAAATGCAGCATAGATGGGCATTGATGGGTATTATCTATAATTGCTAATGATTTCAACTATGAAGTTATTAAAAAAAACTTAGCCGTAAGTAGCCTGTTTGAACATATTACTACCATACCAATTTCTACTTCCTCTTTTAAGCTTACTATTTTTTTTAGGTTTCGAATGATTTAATTTGTGCTGCACGAAAGCATGCACACATTTATGGGCCTGGAGGATTAGTTACTAACAAACCTGTAATTAGACATGAAAAAATGTCGTCAGAAAAAAATGCACAATTACAATCTTTTTTAATAGACAAAGCTAATGTCGTAATGAGCTCATATAAAACTAACCCTATTACAAATGAACCAGTATATTATCTGAAAAATTCAAAAGATGTACTGTGGAACAAATTTCATGAAGAATACCCGAATGGAATGCACCATACTAGTTTTTACACTAGGTTGGAGGAAAATAGATACATATATCAAGAAGATTTGGGTGGATTATGCCATACGTGTTCACAATATGGTTACGAAATATTTTTAGATATTATCTCACTAATTCAAAAACATGTAGTAGAACATGTAATTCAGGTAATTAAGTCTAGTAGTATTATTAATTTTCTGGGAAAAAATTACAGCGAGATTCCCGATGATTATAGAATACAGATGGCCCGAAGGGTTATCTGCATTATAATTAGGCATGAAATTCAACTTATATAGTGTGGGATCCTGATTGGCCAATATCGAAACTTGGGGATGTCGATGTTCCAAGATGCTATCAATATCCCTAACTCACGTTGTTTATAGCTACCAATTTTTACAGAACAATCCCAAAAATTCCTGGTCGGATTTAGGTCGGCATTTAGCCCTAGTGGTTTGTAGATTTTATAACAAAATTATTAGCTGCGCACTTTTTACTTAATGAACGGCTATGATTTCATTAGTAAAAATTTAGTGATCCTGAGCAAATTTGATCATTTCTGGCTCTGCCAACTAGGATTTCAATGCATTCTGACCAGGAATTTCCTGTATGAATTCATGCCTAACTTTATTATAATTTTTCATATGATTATTTGTAACTGGGAATCTTCCTATGGAAGATTCCCAGTCATGGTACAATCTCGTGGGAAATTATAATGATAGGGTATTAAAATAAATATTACATTATAGATAATAGCTAATACATACCATATTTGTTATTACAGAGACAATTATCGTTGGAATGTGAAAAATTGAAGCGTTTTCTCAAACAGGATTATGAACAACATTTCCATATTACTCCACAAGGAACAACATTCCATGATACTTGCATTAATCATTGTCTTTTATATGCATTCGGACAGTGTGACGAACTCCATACTCAAACTTGTAATGACTGTTATACTTTTTTTCAATTTTTTGATATGTTACATAATAATATTAGTGTTTCAATTTACGAAGAGTTGGATAATTTGTATGATCATTTGCTCTATTACTTGGCTCATTAGACAAGAAAGGCGTATTTAAATGCTCAATTGAATGCAAACTTGTTAAATCTGAATGAAAAAACCGCTTTAATACTAGTCGACTACAAAATGAAAATACTACCTAAAACAGCACGTGAAACTAAACAAGATTGGTTTGGCAAAAAAGGCTGGTCTCTTCACTCAGTCCTTGTATATACTACACAATCCAACTCAACAAAATTACGAATTCAAGCATTTGATCATTGGTCCATGGATTCACATCAAGATTCGTGGTTCACAGCATCTTCACTTCATGCAGTAATTGAAACATTAGATCCAAAACCTGAATCAGTGATAATAATGTCAGATAACGGGGTCATTACCATAATGCTGATCTAATGATGATAATGAGATATTGGCCAGAATGGTATGGAATTAATGTAAGCAGATGGATCTTTTTGGAAGCAGGAGAAGTGAAAACTACAATTGATTCTCATCATGCACAGGTACGATGACTGCTAGTAAATTATTCATATTACCTACACTTGTATATTGACTTTTATTTTATTTTATTTATTACAACGAATCAGATATCACATGCAATCAATCGATATATTCATTTAGGCTTTGATGTAATAGTATGACAGGATATTAAGAATGCAATCAAAGGAATTAAAGGGACTTCTGTTGCAAATCTGAATCCTATTTGGGACAGAGGTAGTGGTAATAATACATTACCTGAAAATTCTAACTGGTTTAAGTGGCAATGGCCAACAACGAGCAAATTTTCCGGATGTATTAAAGTACGGGATATTCCTGGTATAGGTAAATGGAAAATTTTTACTATAGCAGAATTAGATAAATTTTGCAAAAAAGACATTCATAAGCCCACACCACAAGTATCGACACATACTACACCTTCATCAAAATGGGAAATGCTAATGCCAAATTCATCACGTATGTCCTTAATACTGTTCAAATTTATTATATTCAGTAATAACTAGGCTTTTTTATTGTCAAGGTCTTATTCCGAGTCGTCTTACAAGAGAAAGTCTAGTGAAAGAATTAGAAAAACGAAACTTTAGGTTCAATAATAAAGAAAATAAAGATCAATTGATAAATTTACTAGAAAACCAATTGGTGGAAGATACGAAGAAGGCAAAAATAGGTATATCGTTGTCGACATGGTTTTGAACATGATAAATAATTGAATTATTGTTTTCTATAGCTCATAACCAAACAAATAATATATCTAACAAAGAGAATCGTCATATTTTCGAAGTAGACAAGTTTCCTCTAAATTCGGGTTGGTCTCTTAAGGCAAATCAAAAGTTTGGATGAAAGGGCACAGGAAAGCGAATATCACTTGAAATTAGAGCACTATTAGAAGTGTATTTTTTAGCAGGAAATATAAATAAAAGTGATAGATATACAGTACAAGATATGCATGATAAACTTGTTCAACATGCACAAGAAGGTGAAATTAAAGTAGAAGAAGTACCTAAAGTTGCCACAATTCAAAATTGGATTGGTTGTTATACGTGAGAACACAAGCAAGAGGCCGCAGCAAGAAAATCAAATTAGCTAAAATAATGAAATTTTAAAATGTAGTTTTAAAATTATAATTTTGTATGTAGTTTTTTTGCCAGGAATCTGGCTTTGGAGCTCAATAACTAGTAAAACTCACAATAAAATATAATAAGCGAGTTAAAAAAAGAATTTTTTGGCATTAAATCATGGTTTCTGTTGTGTAATATAACAACAAAAGTCATGTTTTTCTAATGTTACTTAATTGCTAAAAAAGACTGATTACTAGCTTTTTCTTATTAATTCGTGAAATTTCTCCCCGCGTGATTTTAATAATTTTCACTGATTTGCATACGGATTACAAATTAATATAAAAATAATTATTTGAACTAATCTAAACAAATTTAAGAATAGTTAGGATTAGGGTGAGAGTCATAGTATAGTTTATAGTTAGCTTTAGGTTAGGATTAGAGTTTTTTTATATTAAATAATCTTATAATATTTATATATTCCTATTTATACTAAATAAGATCCTTGTTTTCTATTCTGCAGTACTGTTGAAGATTAGCCACTACTTCCAATTTAGAACTTCCCCAAGCAGGTTTCCTGTATTTCCAATAATCATTGAGATTTACACAATCTTGGACTTATTATGGGTTTGTAACTAGTTTTTTTTGTATATATTCCTTTATAGTTTTTGAGTTTTCCTATATGAATACTAGCAGATTTTCTAGAAATATGCTCTGGTATGACTTAGACTACAGATCTTTCTGATTTGATAATCAGTATGCCGGTTACTATAATGCAAGCCTATTTTTCAAAATTATCATCTGTGAGATTGAACTCTAGACTTGCTACTTGGTGAGGTGATGACTAGACCACTTTACTAAGCTACTACACCCTTTATTATAAAATTTGCTTTTTTAAAGACAAACTATTTTTTAAATATTGTTTAAATATTTAAATAATTTGTATAGTAACTTAGTATAGTAAGCTAGTTGTTATCTTCTTTAAATGACTAATTTAGAGTTTAAATCTTATAGATAATGATTTTGAAAATTAGATCTTTGTTATGATAATAGTTATCAATTATTAGTTAAATTTAGAAATATGTAATTTTGATAATACTATCTAGAATAGAAGCTTTGACACAAAGAAAATCTAGAGAATTAGAATAATTAAAACCTGTTTAGAAATTCTAAGTAGAAAGATAGCAATAATTTTCAATAGTACTATAAAAAAACCAAATTTGAAACTAAGAATAAGATTAAAAAACTAAGCAATCAAATTTTTATATACTAATTTAGCTACTAGTTTAAAATATACTAGAGAAAAAGAATATATATTTTGAAAGTATATACCAAATCTAAAACCTAGGCAAACTAACTCTTCCAGGCTATTAGCTAAAAGTAAAAAATAAGCCAATAAAGAATTCAGAAAAAAGAAAGTCTGAATATATTGAAGTTGTTGTAAATTTTATAAGAGCAAAGAGTAAATAATATACAACTAATTAGAAAACTTGTAGCTTGAGTGATTATAGAATAGCAGCATTACAAAAGATAGTATATAATATAGTAGCTAATTAGAAAGAAGTTATTGAACATGCAGGTAAGACATATATTATACTGTTAGATTTACTTTATAAATAAACTAGCTTAATTAGTGATTTACCACTTAACAGAAGCATAATTTTAGTAAAATGTGACTCAGATTACTATATAAATTTACTATAGTGTGAATGTGGTGATTATCCAAAATAAACTTTTTTTTTATACTAAGGTAATCAATCTTGTCAATTAATTGAAAGTTGTAAAGCTCATCTTTGCTGTTCTAATAGTGGTCAAAGTGTCAAAATCGGCCTAGTAGATGCTGAGATATCTTTAAAAAACAGTTCTTTTACTATATAAACTTCTTTGTAAACAATACTATTGTTTGCAAAGAAGTTTATATAGTAAAAGAACTATTTTTTAAAGATATTTTGGCATTTACCAGGCCGATTTTAATACTTTGACCACCATTAGAACTACAAAGATGAGCTTTATAACTTTTAATTAATTGATAATATTAATTATCTTAGTATGAAAAAAGTTTACCTTAGATGATTACCATATTCACACTATAGTAAATTTATACTATTTAGTAATCTGAGTCACATTTTACAAAGATTATGCTTTTGTTAAGTGTCAGATCATTAATTAAGTTAGTAAGTTTTAAAATAGAGTATGAAATCTAATATAAGCAGAGGGGTTAGAGTCCCATAGCCTAGTGGTCTAGGTGTCTAACCCTCCACAGATGAGGTCGACAGTTCAATTATAGCTGGTGGTAATTAATTTAATTAATTATCTCTGTAATCTTTGGGGGCTTTTGAATGTGAAACTCTGTAGCGGTAAGACCATGTGAAATACATATTTGGCCGATAAAGAATTCTTGGAAGGAGTCCCGAGCCATGAAGAAGATCAGGCACTATGTGTGACATGAGTCACAGAAGGTAATATTGCAGAAGGCTGTGTGTATGAATTCACAATTGGCAAGGTAGCACCAACAACCCTAAGGCGGCATTGGGATCTTGATTGGGAGGATGGCTATATACAATATATCCAGAAGTGGTGAGAGAAGCGGTGAATATAGTAAGGGGCTGTGGTAAAAGAATGGCTTTACCAAATATAAAACACCTCTGGCACAAGAAAACAAGGAACACCGATTAAAAGAAATCCCGAAGCATGGAAGCAAGCGCTCCAGTGGTACGAAAATAAAGTCAGCCAGTAAGTAATGTGTCACACAACCTATATGGGAGTTGTGGAAGCATGACGAAACATAACAGAAGTGTGAGTTCTGGGTTACTGGCTTGTGATAGTAATTAAACGAGGTACTTAACTCCCATCCTAAGGATCTAGACTTTTGTAACACCATACCAATAGGGAGTACTATAAATAGAGTAGTAGCCTAATTTGGTGGTATATGATATGAATACCTAGAACTATGCGAACAGCTTTCCTAATAGCAGCAGCAAGTAGCTTGAGATACGGGTCTTCAGACGGCGGCAGCACCTGGCTTGAAATATGGATTAGGAACTGAAGTAACATCTCGAGGAACACCAAACTGGAAGCATGAAGTGCGCCCACTCCTAGAACACCAATTTGGAAGTTATGCAAAAAATGAATTAGAAGTAATGTGATAAGTGTTAAGGGGTAGATTATAACTGGTAGACGTTGTACAGTAGTATATATAGCGGGTATATATGAATTAGTAAATACATTAAGGTTCTGAGTTATATCAGAACTTAGGGTGCTTCTTGATAGAAGTACCCGAGGATGTTCATCTCACATATGAGATGGTGCAGGCAGTTGCATCTAGGCGCCATAGAGGGTAGCTGGGTGAGGTCATAACAACTACTTAGATAGGTTAAAAGTATATATAAATATATGTAATGTTTACTTAAATAAGTAATAAAGTTAATAACAAAATCGTCGAAGTTGAAAAAAAAATATATATATATATAAGCAGATAGCAAAATCTACTATAATATTTAGAGTTAAGTTAGTAAAAGATAACAGTTGTAACTAGAAAGTTTAAATAAATAAATTTTATAGTTAAAGTACAGGTATAGCAAATAATATAAAACCTTCAGGTAGACTATTTAAATTAGATACCAAAAGTGTATATATAGCTTGATATACTTTTGTTATAATTGTAAAAATATTTATATTACTTAATAAAAAATTACTAAACTAGAGAAATTAAAAAAAATACTATATATTATATATTAATAAATTTTTAAATTTGAATAACTTTGATTTACTGTACTAATTTAAATAATTTAACTACTAAAATAATTCTCTTATATAATAAGAGGATTTTAACAAGTTTAAAATCATTAAAATCTATTTATAAAATCACAAAATAAATAATTTTTTATAAAGAATTACTTTATATTATTATTGATGATTATCACCAGTATAGTTTTTAGAATTAGAGTATATTTTTAAGAGCTTTTTTTTTTATATAATATAATAAAGATTAGATATAGGGTTTTAATTTTAGTTTTTATAAAGTTTTCAAAAGTTTTAAATATTTTTACTTAGAGTACAGTCTAACCTCCCTATAGTCACCCTCTATATAAGCACATCATATAAAAATTCTCTTTATGAGCACATTTTTTTTAAAACCAACTATTATAAACATATAGAAAAAAAACTTCTTTATAAGCACATCTTAGTAAAATTCCCTTTACAATTACACAAATCTTTATCCCAAAGAGTGTGATTATAGAGAGGTTAGACTATACTTAAGAAAAATATTTAAGAAGAATAATCGTGTATACATCAATACAATAATATTTTGCAAGATCAACAATGTATCATTTTTTTTAAAAAAAACATAACTTTTTTAATAAAAAAGACAAACATGTACCACGAACATATGTTTGCTAATTAAATAGAACCAATTATATGTAGTAATGATTAGAATTATTAACAAAGGTGGTTACTTATTACTCTTTTTATTACTGCCTGGCTTCTATTTTTGTCTTTTTTTTAGTATTACATTGCTACCATAGTTACCACATGGTGGTTGTTCACATGTTTCCTCAGGTCTATAGATTTCTTTACTTCCACATTGATAACAAACAATAGGATAGATTTTGGCAGAATAATATGGTTTCTCAACAGGTAAGTTACATAACCATAAATCATTGACAAAAACTTTCTCAAAGATTTTTTGAATTTGATCATTTAACATAGTTGTAAGTTCAGTATTGGTACTATCATCACATGTATATTCAGGTTCACCACCAGATTTACTACTGGATTCACCAC